GCAGAAGGGTCTGGGGCTCCGGGTATTGAGGGCAGGATTATTGGGGACAGGCTGAGGAGAGATGAGGGCAGAGAGCAGTCTGACCCAGCGGGAGAGAAAGAAAGGAAGAGTGGGTGAGATGGGGGTTAAAAATTCAAAGAGAGACTAAGGAAAGGAATGAGATTCAAGGAATGCTGGAGAAACCACAAGGTCAAAACAAGGACAATGAATGAATGAAAGAAAGAAATGAAAGAATTAAAGAAAGAAATAGAAAAAAGAATGACTATTTCAGCCACCCTTTTAATGAAATGAAAAACAATATGCAGTATTGCAGTGTATATTGCTGTCTTAGGAATATTTGATTCTGATTAAACATTTGTGACATTCAATGGTTAAACATTGTTGTGAAATGATCTCTAAACTGTTCCCGCAACCGATTTCCTTCATAGTTGTGATAGTTTCATGTCTCTTTCTATGACTTAGCTGTCTTTCTTTTATATAATGAAAGTATTTACAATTAATCTTTGAAATCAATTTTACATATATTTGGTAAACACCCATATGAGGAATTATGTACAGTCATCTGGTAATTATCACAAAATAAACTCCTTCAAGGTGATATCAGACGCACTTTGAATACATCATAATCACATGGTTTATTTTTTCCTTAGCAATACAGATTTTATAATGCAATCAAATAAATCATGTTCTTTTCAACTTACTATTTATCAATAAATCCTAAAAATCACACAAAAGATAAGATAGTTATTTCAAAAACAAAAAAATCGTACTGACCCCAAGCTGTTAAATGGTAGCGTACATTACACTTTAAAGACACAAATGCTATTGTTTTGAGATTAAACAAACTTTACCTGTTCATCAGCGGTCACTTCTACACACCAGCGCTCATGAAATCAAACTGCACAATTACATAAATACACAGTATTACCTCCACTGCAGTTTAAGCTCTACAATAACACACAATGTAACAATTAAATAACAAATTGATAGAGATCATTGCAAATGTCTAATGGACCTTCAAGGCATGTTCTGGGTTCAATCCAAGTTAAGCTATGTCGACGGCATCTGTGACACTTGTAAAAGCATGCGAAAATTTGTTGCATTTAAAATGTGTTTGCTATTATGCTCATTGTTAACTTTTAAAGCAACAAACAACAAGCAACCAGTGGCGGCTCATCGGGGAGGCAGGGGAGGCACAGCTTCCCCATAATTTTGAGGTGAAAATGGAAGGAGGACGATTTAAAGGGGTCGTATGATGCGATTCCAAGTTTTCCTTTCTCTTTGGAGTGTTACAAGCTCTTGGTGCATAAAGAAGATCTGTAAAGTTGCAAAGACTAAAGTCTCAAATCCAAAGATATATTCTTTATAAAAGTTAAGAGTCAACCACGCCTACCTAAAACGGCTCGTTCTAACACACCCCCACATATCTACGTCACTATGTTTTAATGTTAATAAAATTCACAATTCATTTCAGTTCATGTCTCAGAATGTGTATTTTTTGTTTGTAATTTCACTGTTGTAATACCATAACGTGAAACGCCGCTTTTCTATCCCGAATGTGCCGAATCTGCTGATGTAATTACAACCGCTAATGATAGAGAAGGGGAGGGGGAGGCCGGGGGAGAGTTGAGCTCTTGTGCCTCCATTGGTAAAAAAAAAATTAGCCAATCACCATCGAATGTTCACTTTCAGCGCTGAGGAATGTTGAGAAAAGAAACCTCGTAAGAGAGGCTAGCCTCCCTTCTGATATAAACCAAGCATCATAGAGACGTAAATTATGTGATATTAGTTTGAACGTCTGCCGATAATAATAATAATAATAATAATAATAATAATAATAATAATAATAATAATAATAATAATAATAATAATAATAATAATAATAATCGGCAGGGATCCCAGACCAATACAATTAGTGTGCCTCCTCTATTTTAAAACCCACGAGCCGCCACTGCAAGCAACACTTTAAACATTATACTTGCTAACTACTACTATCACTAGTGTGATTAAATCACAATCAATTAAATGTACAACTGATTAAATCGAAGCATGTTCATTATTATTTGTTTATTTATATACTATTATAGTTTTTAATATTTTTAATTACCTTTGTATACCTTTTATTATTGATTTTTTAGATTAATTTGTATATTTTCAGTTTTCTTTAATTTTTATTAATATGGTGATTTTGTCTTTATTTAGTTAGTTAGTTAGTTTTATAGTTCACTTTTAGTTCTGGTTTATTTCCAGTTAGTAATTCAGATTTATTTCAAATAGCAAAAATGTTTTTATTAGTTTTAGTTACCAATAATAAGTTTGTCCTACTTGAATACTGAATATATCACTAATAAAAATAAAATGTTATATTACTTTACATTTCAAATAATACACACTTTTGTATGAAAGAATTAATAAAAACAACAAACTACACATTTAAGTACATTTTTTAAAATGCAGTTTCTGTATGCAACAGAGGCTGTCTATAGAGCTTGTTTAGTTCTCCAAGAAAATAAAAATGTAAGAAAAAAGAAAAGTACATTTAGATATACATGGTTGTGGAACAACAGATAGTTTCACTCTCTCACTGATGTCTCCACAAACACACACTCATATTCCAGAAGGACTTGACCTCCTGACAGATGAACCTATTTCTCTTTCATTCTCTCTCTTATTCTCTCATCCTTTTCCTCTTCCCTTCCCCTCTTTTCTCTGATAGTGTCCGAGACACAGGACGTCTCCACACTAAAGTGCTGAAAGACTTGGACACGTCCTGTGACAGAGACCTCAATGAAACAACTGCTGTTGGACCACACACACACACACACACACACACACACACACAAACCTACCTCAGTCTTTGTATTTATCAGTGAACATGAACACGGCCATCACTGTCAAGTCTTATTGAAAAATATTTCCGGATTTTCATTGTCGTACAAGTTAAAATAAATATAATTGGCATTAAAACAGGGTGTTGTTTGCGGTTCAAGACAAAACTAGCAGAACAACACGTGGCAGCTTGTATGTGACGTTAATCTCTTTCTTCTTTATAGCCTAAAGGCGTGAATATTCAAATCAGGTGTTCATAAAGGTTAAACACATATTCACGCACATGCATGCACGCACGCACACACACACACACACACACATACACACACACACACACTAAAGGCAGCTTTCAGATGCACTCACTCAATATCTCACTGTTAATCTAAAAGTGATGCAAATCCTTCATTTCCCCAGTTTTGTTTTGCATGCTGAACCTGAAGTAATAAGATTCTGCTGAGAAAGACCATTGTAAAAAAATTTATGGGCTTGTTAGGGTTAAACCTTTTAAAATATGCACCTTTGCAGATGTTTCCTAAACTAACTACTTGTAGTTGTGTTCCCTACTTTGGTAAAAAAAAAAAATATATATGCTGGCCAAACCAACGATTGACTTTGAAAAACAAAACCTGACTGCTTCTAGTGGTCAGTGGAGAAACTGCAGTATGACGGACAACATGAACTAGGTGCTATTAAGAAATTAACGTGGCAATACATAAAGCATTTATTTTATTAACAAACAGACCTAGAGGAGCTTAGGACTTAGGACTAATTGGTGTATGTACTGCTAAATTATGTCATAATCTGCATATATACACACACAACGTTCCTATACATTTTGTTTAGTGAATTTCAATGAGCGTTTCCCTTCCATTTGTTCATAAGTACAGGATAATAATTAAAGCAGACGTTTTGGTACATCACACAGGTAAAGATCTAGAAGTTGGATTTAATAGATTGCACTTGTTTACAAAAACATATTTAGTGTTTTATTAGTTTTCACCAGAGACTCTCAACAGACTGGCGTTTCACGCTGACTTTACAGCACTCATAAAGAGCAATATCTGGCCCATGAAATAGCTTAAAGCATAGAAACCAAGAAAAATACATTTTCTTTAAATAACTTTCCACCTGCCCCTAACATTTTTTTTTTCCACATTTATGACTTTTCCAGGCCTTTCAAAATTCCCTGATATTCTGAGGTTTTCCATGACCTGTTCGAGGGTCAAAGAAAATAAACTTTGTTTTAACCTTTTTACTGGTTTAGATCCAGATCCTAACACATTCAACGCCGCTGTTGGTCACACATCTGCATACATATCCCTAATCAACAGATTTCCTCTATCACACAAAACAAACTAACAAACCAAATCATCCCATTGTTTGCACAAGTACAGTACAAACAGTCTTCTGTCAACTAGTCAGATTCACTCTCCTGTCATGCTTTGCAAAGATAAAGCTGGAGTGTTTTGGTCAAATTATATGCTAATTAGTGCATGCTGTAATTTAAATTAGAGAAGGCTGAAAAACGTTAGAATGACAGACTAAAACCAACATGAACATACATCACTCTAAAATGGATTGCACAAAATGTTTTTAAAAATACAATCCCAAGGCATTCAAACTTAAGAAATGTATTTTGAAACCACTTTTAAAAATACTGTTACTTAAAAACAACTTAAGATTAGTTACAGAATTTAATGAGATTTAAAAGTTAAAGGCATACAGTGGGTACGGAAAGTATTCAGACCCCCTTAAATTTTTCACTCTTTGTTATATTGCAGCCATTTGCTAAAATCATTTAAGTTAATTTTTTTTCCTCATTAATGTACACACAGCACCCCATATTGACAGAAAAACACAGAATTGTTGACATTTTTGCAGATTTATTAAAAAAGAAAAACTGAAATATCACATGGTCCTAAGTATTCAGACCCTTTGCTGTGACACTCATATATTTAACTCAGGTGCTGTCCATTTCTTCTGATCATCCTTGAGATGGTTCTACACCTTCATTTGAGTCCAGCTGTGTTTGATTATACTGATTGGACTTGATTAGGAAAGCCACACACCTGTCTATATAAGACCTTACAGCTCACAGTGCATGTCAGAGCAAATGAGAATCATGAGGTCAAAGGAACTGCCTGAAGAGCTCAGAGACAAAATTCTGGCAAGGCACAGATCTGGCCAAGGTTACAAAAAAATTTCTGCTGCACTTAAGGTTCCTAAGTGCCTTAAGTCTGTTTGTAGTTTTGTGTTTAGTGCTGCTTTGAAAGAGCATTAGCATTAATCCGAAGTTTAGGATTAAACAGTTTTAAACTGAGGATTAGACTGCAGTTTTGATGCTGATCCCATGTGGGTTTGTATTGGACAATCAAGGATGGTCAAAAGTGGATGATGTAATCAACTGCCGCCTTCTGGGTTTCAGCTTCAGAGAGCCATAGCGAGGCTTTAAAAACAATACAACATCAATTCACAGTTAATTTTCAGGAAGTACTACAGTGGGGTCTGAAAGTCTGAGACCACCAGGGAAAGTGTTTGTATTTTATATTCTGCTTTACATTATGATACAATTGAACATAAAATGTTTGCATGTGCAAATGTACCTCTTTGCGTGCTGCTTTGGCACGGGTGAGTTTCACACTCTGAGATCTACGCAGACCCTTCTGCACTGACGCCTCGTCATCGGAGAATACTCCATCTGTTTCCTCCTCATGCCCCTCCCCTGCTTGTTTATATGGCTCTGTTGGAGCAGATGCACAGAGGAAGCAATAAAGATCTCAAACAAGAGGAACTGAACCTTGAAGGATTAGTTTACCCAAAAAATTTAAATTCTGTCATAATTTACTCACCCTCGTGTTGCTCCAAACCCATATTGTGAATTTGTGGAACAGACCAAAAAAGAAATTTTTCATACAATCACAAATGGATTCTGAAGCTTTCAAGCCTCATAAAGGATGCACAAGCGCAATGAAAATGATTGGAATATAGTGGAAAAAGTTGCATGGAGCTTATTCATCATCTGTCTCTTTTCATTGTAAGTTCAGTTTTCTTTTGTCCTTGAAAGAAAGTCATATTTTCATTTTTGTTTTTTTTTACTAATGGTTTTCATTTTGTTTTTTGGTTACATGTATTGAGTGACCAGCTGAACTTTCCACCAGGATTGCTTTTCAATACTTTCAATACTACCACTAGAGGGAGACATAATAATTATTTTCTGATGACAGACAATGTGCTCCGCTAGGGTTCATTTGCCCTAGCAATAAAAATGACATTTTGAATCTTGTTACAGTTCATTTGTTTCTTTAGTTGAATTTAGTTAAATCAGTATGTAATAATTTTTCATAACTACATAATTATTTATCATATGATGTCATTAAAGGAAAAGTTCACCCAAAAATTAAAAAATTGCTCAAATTTACTCACCCCAGGCCATCCAAGATTTTTTTTCATCTGAACATATTTGGAGAAATTTAGCATTACATCACTTGCTTCACATCACTGCAGTGAATGGGTGCCATCAAAATGAGAGCAGTTGATAAAACATTAAAATAATCCACAAGTTACGCAAGTAACCCACAAGCTGTGTGTTTGCAATAAATCCATCAAGACATTTTTAACTTTGTTGCATCTGAGCCCTCTATCCATAATAATAATAATCCATAATAATGCTTTCTCCAGTGAAAAAGTTGTCGTGTCTGAATCAGGAGAGAAATATGCATAGATCATGCAATGTTTACAAGCAAAAACAAATATACTGGTGGATTTAAATGTGAGAGGACAACAGAGGATGGACTTTCTTACTGGAGGAAGCATTATTATGGACTTTGGATGCGTATTTTGGGCAGAAGCGACAGTTTAAAGTCAAAAGGTCTTTATGATAGATTAGTTTCTTACAAACACACAGCTTTTCAATTCACAAGATGTAAATTGATGGACTGGAGTCGTGTGGATTACTTGATTATTATAATGTTTTTATAAGCTGTTTGGACTCTCATTCCCTGCAGAGAATCCATTGGAGAGCAAGTGATGTAATGCTACTGTAGATTTCTCCAAATCCATTTCGATGAAGAAACAAACTCATCTAGATCTTGAAAGTACATTTCCAGAATTTAAATTTTTATTTTTGGGTGAGCTATTCCTTCAGTGCATGTACAGTACTCACCAGAATCAGCAGCGCTAGGGTTAGCAGGCTGGAGGGCCCGTCGGCTGGGGTTTGAGAACACTGATTGTTCAGAGGGTAACTCCGTCAAGTCTGGAATACTGAAACTCCTCAGACGTTCACTGATAGCACCCTGTCCCTGTGACATGAGTCATGTGGTCAGCTAACATGGTGCACTGAGTAAACAGAATTCAAGAACCAAAAACCTTTGAAGCTACCTTTATAATACACAGACATCTTTTATTTAACTTCCCAGTTAATGATGTGCTGGCGACAGGTTAAAGCAGATTGAAAAAGAAAGCAAGTTACCTGGGCTAGGTGCAGCAGCTACTGCTGGTGATTAGTTTAGCATGTACACAGAAAGAGAAAGGAAACAGGAAGATTTGAACTAGATTTTTACATTTTCTAAAGAAACCGTAAGTGGTGCATGTCTATATTCTTGTTTCTAGATAAGAATCAAGATAAGAACAGTAGACCTTAGCAAAAACTGAAGAGGCTTATCAAAAACAGAAGAGCACTAGTGATTTAGATCTTTTTTAGGAACCAGACACGGCCAGACAGCAAATTTGATTTGAAAAAAGCAGTCAAGAGAACAGGAGAGGCCGCAGTGAAGAGCACATGTCATTTTTGCAGTGCATTTTCGTGTCTGTGTCAGCATGTCCTTAACATGCTGTATATTTTTAAGGTTTTCTTTGTGTGTGTGTGTATTAGCAGAATGATACAAGTTTCCAAAAAATTATTTCTGAAGGATCATGTATCTAGTGACACTGAAGACTAGAGTAACGGCTGCTCTTACGGTTATTACTGTATTTTTTATCAAGCCTTTAACAAAAGTTTTTTAATATTTCTTAAAATCTGGTATACCCTTTCATATAAATCCTTTTTATTTTAAGTTTATAACAGCATAACAGAAATGAGAGTAAACAATGAATCACAAAAAGAAGTAATGTATCAATGCAAAACAATGTTTCTGCTTACGTGGAAAGAAAGCTGACCAAATCATCTTAGTTAGCTAGGTTAGCTCAAATGCATAGTATAAACAGTGCATGAGTGTACAAATGAGCCCATGTGTCCGTGTCCATACCTTCACAGCAGCGGAGACAGCAGCAGCAGCCGCGATCGTGAGACCCTGACGTCCGAAATTCACCATGGTCTCGTAACTCCTCTCTCTGGCCTGAACGATATAATCATCAATCTCCTGAAAAACAGAATGCAAAACAGTCAATAAATCTATCATTGAAATTCACCTTTAACCTCCAACTAGGGAGTTGTTTGAAAACAAATAATTACAGAGGGCCGGGAACAAAATATACAGGCGCAGTTAAACAAACAATGCAGTTTATTGTTAGTTTATAATGATCATGTAATCGACACATCCAACTAACCCAATCCGTCTGTTTACCTCTTAATGTCATTTATGTAATCATTGATTATGTAATCCTCTCGATTCCATAATACATTTCAGTATGGCTATGTGTTCACTGTCAGTGAACGCCTATTCCCAAGGAAACTGATGATGTGTTTAGGTCATTACCCTCTCCTTGGATGCCAGCATAGGGTGTAGGAACTTCCTGTAGAGGACACTGGCTCCTCTGGTGTAGGGAGACAGCAACCAAAAGACGAAAGCCATTTTCAGTTCGTAGTAAACTGGAAACCTGAAACAATCACATCAATGTGAAAACAGAGGGATGATGGAAGACAGAAGAATAAATTAGATTTTTTTGCATTGTCTATGATTTTAGTCTCTTGGACCTCAGGCTTGGTGGATCGATATTCAAAGTCAAATTCAAAGTCAATAATTTACCAAAAAAATTCAATACATTTTTTATATATTTATTTTATTTTTTTATATATTGTTATTTATTTCATTATTATTTATATTTAATTAATTATATTTAACAAGGAGAGTCATTTTTCTTTAAAAAAAAAAATCCCATCTGGATTTGATTTATAGATTTTCTTTCCCATTACAGAATAAAGGAGTTAATTAACATCATAATTTTTAAAATTGCAATGCCACTTTTTTCAGTACTAGTACACTGCATAGAACTATCCATGCAAATAAAATTGATCTAATTTAGGAAAATCAGAGCCAGTAAAACAAGCAGAGCTGATCTTTTTTTTTTTTTTTAAATGTCACAAAACTAACAAAACTACGCAGTGGAATTTAACCGAACTGAAACTGAACCTAACGGACTGGTTCCTCTAACTGGCCTGAGGAAAACAAATGGAGCTCAACATCTGCAGCAACAGATAAAAGCCCTTTTCATTTACCACAAAGGCTAGACAGTGAAAAGTCATACAATGGAGAAGAATAGCAAAATGTTAATAAAACCACTTGATGCAAAATTACTCCATGCAATCCATTAACAATTATTCATTTGCCTCTTTCCAGACTGTGTGTGTATATTTACCAAGCCAAAGAAAGGTCTGTGATGGTCTCCACCACTGTGTAAAGAGCAAACACAATCCAGTACATCATCCATCGCACCTGTCAAACCACAAACGCAAACACAAAATGCCTGTTAGAGGTATAGAAGTGCTACTTACAAAAACTTACCATGTACGTACTATAATATATGAATTTTATTCATTCGCTATATGATATACATCAAAGTACAATGGTATCACATCACTGTACCACAGTACAGTCACAGTATTTTTTGTAAGGAAAGGAAGTACACAAACCACAAACAGGGCACACATGGTGGAAGAACAGTATTAAATTGCTCAACAGTTCAGGGTTTAGTTACTGACAGCCTCCGTCAGATACAAAGAGTAACCAGGATATACAGACAGTTTAGCTGGAGCTCTCCATCTATTCTGGCTATTAACATTCTCTAAACTCAAATAGATGTGAAGAATCAGTAGAACATGGATAAAGATATGCATGTGCATTTATGAACTGAGTACTCACATATTCTTTGACATTCTTGGATTTGACGGCTTTAAAGGAGTAGTATGCAGGATACAGTGTTCCAAACAAAAGACTGTGATGAAAACACACACATACATACAGTACACATAAGACATGATTTATATTAAAAAATACCATGCACCTGTTATAAGCAAGCAAACAAATAAAGGTTGGCGAACAGTTCAATGCCCAACCAATCAAAATTTAGATAGACTGATATAAAAATGTAAGATATACAAATATATCTATATAGGTTATAGATATTATAGATTTTTAAAATGTATTTTTGCATTTGGATTATCTTTGCCTTCATCTAACACTTAAGTCTTTAAAAAGACTAATAATTTAATTTAATATAAACACATTAAATAACTTAGTAACACTGTTAAATGTAATTTTTAGCAAATCTTGAAGTTAATATACTTTTTTCCTACTGTACATTACTAAATTCACTTTTAGCATTTAAATTGACTGATCTTAGTTTTAAGCATTTTATTTTAAATGCATTTAGACAAAATGTTGTAGAATTCTGTCATTTATCAATTATCGGCCATTACATGAAAATTATTAGCCATGACAATAAAACAATTATCAGCTTATCTAATCAACCATAATTTGAATATCGGTGGATCCCTATGCACAATCTTATATTTGATGATAATCCACCCAGATGGCAAATCCAGCCTTTGCCTTTGGTTACAGGCCTACTCAAATATTAAACTGGAACACTGATCACTCAAAATGCTCTATTTATTGTGACGGGTGAAACTGAAATCCCGTTGTTGTTTTTTTTCAAAGAGGTGTTCAATTCAGTACATACACACAGTAAATTCACTGCTTTCACTGTAACTGGCTTGCGTTTCCCTTATCCATTTATTTTCGAGTAGCTATGGGAACGACATCACTGCCTGATACCGTCTAAAGTTATGTGTGATCATGGGATTGTGTGTGTGTGTGGGGAGGGACTGTTGGATGGATTACATTTATTGTGTAACGATTCTCCACTCTAAAACATCTCTACCATAAAGCAAAATAAGTGCTGAAGTCAAGAGCAGAGGTCATCTCTTAACTTAAAACAGTAAAACTGTTTGTAATTAAACAACTGCAGCATCACCAAGTCACTATTTCCAAACACAGCCTGTCTTGCTTTTACTACTAGTCTGAAGAAAGTGTTTAAACTTCGAATGCTGTGAGAACACATTAGAGTCACAATGGTTTAGTCATGCATTTCCTATTACGCTGTTCTCTGGGAGAACTCGTGAGGGTAAAAAAAGAAGGGAAAGAATTAGGAATGAGTGTGTGTGTGTGTGTGTGTGTGTGAGATGTTACTGCACATCTCTAAAACAGCTAGGCCTTGTTTGCCGATGGTGAATAATTCATCATTTTAACTTACAGTAAGAACACAAGAGGAGTTTCAAAAGACCTTTAGACTTTGAAACTGACTATAACATACTATATATAAATGTATTTCTATCAGTGACAACCAGAGACCCTTATCTCTTATATTGTCAGTACACTAAAGATAACCAAACCCACAGCAAACAGCACCTAGTGAGATGAGGCACAAAATGTGCTTTGCTGTGCTGACCTTTTCCGCAAAGAAAGGGACACACCTACAGTAACATTATGATCTAGCAGGAAAACAGCAGTTCCTCCCAGGCAGACAGGGACTTTGAATAAAGCAGGTCTCCAGCCAAAAACATGATGAATTTCCTGCTCTACTCCAAAATTGATGTAGTTTTTTTTTTCTTCTGCATAATTTGTGAATTTTTATTATGGTTGATTCAGAGGTTCCTAAACTTTCTTACCAGTGAATTTCCAAGATTTTTCCATTACTTTTCCTATGATTTGTGATGGCTGAATAAGGTTTTGTGCACTCACAAAAACAGTAGTTTCCAGCCTACTAAATACTTCAGTTCTGAGCATAACTATACATTTATATTGACTGTAAACATTTACATGACCTTTTAAAATTGTATTAATTTCTATTACTTTTCTGGGCCTGGAAATGAAGCTTTTAAATGGTACATTCCAGATTTTCCAGGCCTGTGGGAACCTTGCTGAAAGTGAAAATATATAAAATAAGAATACTGCAGAAATGTAGCAACTGTAGCAGTGTTATTTATTATATTGGGGGACAAAACATCATACTTTATGCATCCCCCCCCCCTTTTTTTAATCCTGACCAACAACAAATAAACTACAGTTTGTTTTATGTACTTATAATATTGTTTTGTATTGTAACATTGTAGATATAGAGACAGTACAGTGTGCATAGATGTTGTCCGTATGAACTAAATGCGCAGTCAGCAGTTTTACTAATGTAACGTTACTTTAAGCTCAGAAACGCAACATAGTTTTCAGTAAATACTCACACGATGACCCTAGATATAATCCAAGACACCATCTTCCAACCTGCTGCACTTTTAAGTTATGAGGTTCGATGCAGGTCCAGTCCAGAGGCATAAACTATTCAAATAAACTATAACTAATAATAACTTCTGTCTCGTTTCTCCAACCGCTAAAACTCAACCACTGATTTCCTTTTTTTAACGCATGCTTCCTGATATCCACAAGTTTGCAAAATGACATCGTTATTTGACGAATAACCACTGGTTTCAGCTGTTGTCTTCTCTCTACATGATGTTCCGTTGTGTGTATTGTTTTTCTCTTCGCCTGTCCCTTTCGGACTAGGGACGATGTCAGTCACCTTTGATTGATGGCACGACTGGCCACTGATTGGACAAAGACTCTGGTTTGTCCCGCCTTCTGCGTTTACTGATTGGACTACTGACTCATCGCCAAACAGGGTCACAGGGCGGAGCTGCTCATCGCTTGCATTGTATGCTGTTTGCGTACAGGAATGATTGGGTTTGAAACAGGTAATTTGGAAACGTTTTTTATTTGAAGATGTAAAATGCTCTTCAATGGATGGGTGCACAGGTACATTTTTATATAAAAAAAAAAAAATTAAAATGAACGTATTGTCGTGTAGTCTGATTTGCCATCTTTTGGCATCTTTAGAAGTAGGCTACACTAGCATATGACCTCAAAGCTAAGAGGTAGACTAAAAGCATCAAAACTTCAGGTAATCTCAGTGGAAATGCCCTGTAGGTAATTTCCAGTTAAAAGATCCCCCTGACAGACATCCATAGGGGGATTTTTATTTTTTTTTGTTCTGGAGAGAAATCAAATATATTTTATTGTTGCAATAATGTAGATTAGTTATATAATAGATGGTAACTGTAAATGCAACATGGTCTCGTCCTAAGAATGAATAAAAAAAAAATAAAGATGCTGCAATAGAAAGTTTATGCATTGCTAAACAATGAAGAACAGCTGCAGATGTTCTGCCACATCTGTTTTAGATTCTCTTAATTTGCCCTAAAGTCAGTTTTGCAGTGTGCATTAGATTGTTAATACACACTTGGAAGGGGGAGCAGTGTAGTTAATGGTGACTTTGACCTTTACGTTAGATGTCCTATCTGTTATCCTTTTACCCACACTGAGAATAGAAATGAAAATTCTTGATTATAGTACGCTGGCTCTAAAGAGCACCCTTAAGGAAATCGGTCTCAAAGAATGATTAAAATATTGGCAAAGGTTAATTTTAACATCCATTGCAACATTGTGTTGTGGGTTCTACAGATGTTTAAGAACTGTAGTGGCTTTGTTGCCAAGTAGTGCTAAGAGAAAATTATATGCAAGGGGCCTCTGAAGGGCTTTACTCTCATTGGACAACGTTAAAGAAAAACTGTGTGAGGGGCTAAACAGTCCATCTCAAGTGGTCCAGTAGAGTTGGTTGACCATTTATAATTTTGATTAACTCTATGCATTGTTATCAGAGGCGGACAAAGTACTCAACTCCATTACTTTTTAGAGAAGAAAAAAATCACCCACTGACTTTCAAAGCTGCTACATAGTAACGACTTTCTACTTCGAGGACCTTGATAGAAATGTAGTGGAGTGAAAAGTACAATATTTGTCTTTCAAATGTAGTGAAGTTAAAGTCATAAGTTCCCAGAAAAAATAATACTCAAGTAAAGTACAGATACTCAAAAAGTGTACTTAAGTACAATACTCAAGTAAATGTACTTAGTCACTGTCCGCCTCTGATTGTTATTGCAAAACCTGAGATTCGGGTCTCAGCCCTGAAATTTTTAGGGTGTAAGTATAGGGTATATACAGAACAAGTGGAAATTTCAAATTTGAGACCATTTCTATTTTTTTTTTTTTTTGTCTGTTCTAGGTAATGCCACCTGGAGACAGACAGCCATTGGGAAAGTAGATTGTATCACTTTCCCAATAGCTGCCTGTCATACATTTAGCTATTCTTTTTAACTATTCCCCCCCCCCCCAACAGATTACCACTGTTTAATATAATAATAGCTTTCCTGTAGCTCAAACAGTAGAGCATGGAGCTAACAATGCCAAGGTAATGGTTTCAGGAAGACAAGAAAACTGATCAAATGTGATTGAATACAATGTATACAATTACAAAACTGAAGTGTCTGCAAAATGTAAATAACAATGTAATATTTTTATATTAATAAAATAGTAGTTCAATCGTTTAATATTTTAAATAATACAAATTATATTTAAAAATATTTGTATGAACACAAATTAATAATTAAGCAATGTAATATTTTATGTTATATTATAATTATGACATAATTAGAAATAATTAAACTATTTACAAAACAAGAATGCCAAATCCCTCAAAGAAAAGCACTCCCTCCTATTTGTGTAAGACTCCAGGATCGGTTCCAGGTTGGATGCGCATGCCCTGTTCTTCAGCAGAATCCCTGCGCGCGATAACGCGTCAGCATCAAGCAAAGGATCACTAATATTTCCAATGAATGATACGTCTGATAGCCGACGAACTGCAGGAGCTTGATCCACTCTGGCATCCCGGATCCATACATCAGGGGGAGACGGGGCGTGTTTGAGGTGAGAGTGAACAGAAGTGATGCTTTATGATTGTGTTGTGCATTTTATTGGTGATGCCAGGTTTCTGAGGACTCGTGCAAGGGCTGCAGTTCCGCCTGAGGAGCTGTCTGTGGTTCTGAAAGGATCGGGTGACTGTGGAAGACTGCATTTTTGGTTACACGAAAATGAGCTTCCTGGCAGGTTGAAGCGAGATAATACAGCGAATCTCGCTTGACACATCATAAAGCGTTCGCATGCATGACATACGGGTGCAGCGCGAGGTGGAACAGTGTTTGCATTTAATTGCCTGTCCCACCGATATTACAAAACTGATAAGTGTGTCTGATCTGTGATCTGCTGTCATCAGATTTTCAGCGTTTACTTAAAAACCGGTTCCTTTTAAACTTGAGAGGAAAATCCTCGACCACCAGCTGATAAATGATTTTAAGACAGCCAAATATGATTGTAATCCAAATGATAGCTATGCATTTTGGTTTTCACTAAAATATCATTGATAAAACATGGTTGTAATTACAAACGACACAATTAGGTGGGGATTATCACAAAGACATTGCCAACTGATCAGTTCTGCATTGTTGTAGCATCTTTGATTTCTGTCCAGTAATACTGTATATCATGCAAGTTTTGATGTTTTAAGCAACGAGGTGTATCATCGTGTGTGTGTGTGTGTGTGTGTGTGCGTGCGTGCGTGCGTGTGTGTATGCCTTGCTTCTCCCTATCAGGTGCATATATATCCACTGGAGTAGCTGTTTTGCAGAGTTTTTGAACCATGGCGAAGAACAACAGCCTCCATCCAAACAGCAATGGAGAGACGGACGACTCACCCAACATGCTGGTTTACAGAAAGGTAGGACTTTGAACAATTATTAAGATGGTCACTTTGTGAAATGTATTGCCTTTTTGACAGAACAAGTAGTGTAAGCTTTGTTTTGAGTGCAGTTTTGGGGGGAAAAAAAGCTATTTGTCACACTTTTTAGTTTATTTTGGAAAGTCAATTTCTGTATGGACACAAATCTTGAGAGCTTTTTGTTAAAAAAAAAAGAAAAAAAAAGAAAGAGTTTGCTACCACACATTGACCTTTTGTGGGTATATGGGGTAAGTTGTCATGATGGGAATCTGCTTTTAAATAGCATGTTACATTTAATATTTAGCCTTTTTGACAATTTTCCCTTGTGACATTGAGTATGTAGGGCATTTTCTTGAGAAGCAACAGGAATGGAAAAACTTGTGTTTTGAAAAAGGAGAGATAAAAACTTTACTCTCCATCTTTCTGATGATTGGTAATTTGCTCATCACTGCTTGAGTCCAAGTCATTTGTATTGCTGATTGGGAACTGAAGTCTGTCATTGTGGCTGAGAGCCACTAATGTTACCACTCATCCTATGGAGACTCAAAAAAGAAGCATGAATTTTTCACGAAGCCATTATCACATATTTAAAGACTTGTGTGGCAAATTACAGTTTCAATCATGGTCAGTCGTTGTATGATTAATTACAGTAGTAGCCTGCTTAAATGAGCTCTGATGACGAATCAGGTATCTGAGTGCTTCTCTGTGATGAATTCATAATTCACGACTAGTATTTCCTCTGTCCTGTACCAGCTTGCCCTCCCGTCTCTCCTGAGCATGTTCAATTTCAATCTGTCCCCTCAGGTGCGGCTGAAATATGTTGTCAGAACATGGCAGTCAGATATAGTTTGGAGACAGTGAATCATTCATCTATCAGAGGCTGCAGCATCTTCCTGCAGGACTCTATTTTTTCTTCCTTCTTTCAATTCATTTCCTTCACCCTTCAGTTGATTTTCACATTTCCTCCATGCTGCTTCAGTCCTATTAGGTGTGCTGTGCCGTGGAGATGCATGAACGAGCAGTGCTCTGCAGTCAGAGATACTGTGGCTCTTCTCTTCACATCACAAGACATTAACTCACCCAATTCAGAACTAATAACTACTGACCAGCCCCCTATCACAGGCTTTTCTAACAGATCTCAAAGAGCTGAACAGATTTATGAAGGACCTTAGGCAGAATGGTGCCACTTTTCCCGAAAGCATCGCAACCATAAGTGGATTGTAAGAAAGGCCGTTCAAATCGTCATAGGATTACGGACTGTTTCCCAGAAGCATTGTAAATTAAGTAGTTCTTGAAAATCTTAGATTTACAAGTCATTGGGAGTAACTGTAAAAAGGCAGACTTACACAGTTACTTTTCTGATGTCTTTACACTTAATTCAGTATACAATGACTTCTAATTATTTTATTTGTTTTAGAATTAAAGTGTGTGCGTGTGTATATATTAGGGCTGGTAATTTAACACATTAATTAGATTAATTAATTACAGTGAAAAATAACGCGTTAAAATTATGAACACATTTAATGCGCTTGCCCCACCCCAGACCTATGTGGGTCATCTGACAACTTTTCCACGACATTCTAATTTATTGAGATGCACCTGTAGCTGATTGATGACAAATATGAGGCAGGGCAACAACTCCCTGCGTGATGAGCCTAAAGAATGTAGTTAGAATGTCCCTAAAATTCAAGATATGGGGCAAAAATGCCCCTGTTTGAGTTTTTGTCTCATTTACATCATGTAGTTAAGCAATATCACACGAGCAATAAGTGCAATATTACACGAGTGCAAATGTGATACTGATCTTATACAACAGTTCAGTAAATAATAAGTTAATATTGTGTTAATTTAGACACAATGTTGTCTGTTTTGC